GTAATAATTAGTTTTACACACCACTGCAACATTGTCAAAATCAATTGAGTGTCCTTGTTGACAAGCATGTTCTGCCACTGCCGACAGTTGTGTTTGAGATAATTTAATATTTCTCTGATGTTCTTTTAGTCTTACGCTGATGTTACGTCCCGTCTGCCCAATGTAGCAGCTGCCACATGAACAATTAATCCGATATACACCTTCTGTTGATAGTTTAGGTAATGCGTCTTTAGTGCAAGATACTAGTTTTTGAATTTTGTGTACTGTACCAAATCTTACTGTAATGTTTTGCTTTTGCAAAACGCGGGCTAATTTGTCAGGCTTAGTGCGGCCTGGAAGCGTATTATTAAATAATACACATTACATTTTGATTTAAAGAATTACTAATCTACAACTCATTACTAATCATAACCAATGACTGATTACTAATCGATTATATAATTACATTACCCCCCCCCTCCGCCTCTAATCACTGCACCTGATGAGTTAAGTGATGACGTCACCCTGCTGCTCTATATAAAACCGGGAGCAAGCGAGGGCTTTACCATTCTGGCGAATTGCCCGATGATGCTGGAAGTATTTACCAGCGAAACGTCGTACTCAAACTGTAAATGTGGATTAACTCTTCAACACACCGGTGGGCTGAAGTAGTGAATTATTTGTCTTTTGTCAACGTGACACTTTTTTTGCTGATTGGCCGTGTCGGGTGGTGGAGGGTTGCGACACATTTATAAATGAACGCGATCTAACCCAAAAACCTTTATTATGAATAATATTGGTCGCGAAAGCCTACGTGTTAAACAGACAGAGGTTGGTTGCAGTTGGGAGCTGGACGATGAAGACGCAGAGTTAGGAACGGAGTAGAAGCAGAGTCTAGAAACAGAGTTTGGAAACAGAGTAGAAACGGAATACGGAACAGAGTTGGAGACAGAGTGAGAAACGGAGTTGGAATAGCGTTAGCGGAGCTGAAGCAAGACCAAGTAGTTAGCAGTGGAGTGAGCGTAGCGTTAGCGGAGCTGAAGCAAGACGAAGTAGTTAGCAGTGGAAAGAGCGTGGCGATAGCGGAGCAAAGACGCTGTGTGCGAGTTGCTGAACGGGGACTCGCTGTGTGCGAAGACGCTGTCTGCGGAGAAGTGAAGTGATAGTGGGGAGACAAAGGTGGTGAGCGAGACGGGCGGAGCACGGCGAGCGAGCCGTGGTGACCAGGATACTGTGGAGTGTGGACGACATGTTGAATGATGTAAATAAAGCGGTGTTTGAAGAAAGACAGAAGTTGTCCGCGTAAAGTCAAATACTACGTAAATACAAATTGGGATTTTTCCAGTGGACTCATCACGCTAGACCCCCCCCGCCTCCATTGGCTCTGGGCGGACAGAGCGAGGAGAGGTCACAAACTCTCCCGTTTGCTTCAGCTGCCGCGCCGGGAAACAGACGCGGCGGCCTGAGTAATTGCACGTCCACTCTGCTGACCATTAAATCGCAGCAGCATCGCGTCAATATCATTATCAAAAATGAAGCAATAAACATCATTCACGGACAGTCATTTGAAATCCATTGCTGGGCATCGCACTTTTTTAAAATAAATTATGTTGGCAATGCTGCAGCTGCGTTGACAGTGGTGCACAAGCCCAATTAGCAACAACAACCTCAAAACATTCATCATTAACAAACTCTGATTAAGCTAGTTGTAATTGCTGGTGAAACGTTGTACTCAGGTTGTTAATGTTGTGGCTTGGCTCTCCAACACACTTGTGTACTGTGCTAGTGACGAATTGGCTTGTTCTGTTTACGTGACAACCCTTACTAGTTGGCTGTGTTGGGTGGTGGCGGGTTTAACGACACATTTATATATTTACGCGATCTAACCCAAAAAAGATCTTATGGATGATATTGGTCGCGAAAGCCTGGTGTTGAATTGAGTTTTGTTTTTGTTAATCCACGCTAGGCCTTGTCCATCAGTGGGGATTGATTTTCCCATGCCTCGCCAACGTTGGCCAGTGCAGTTGTCACCTGTTTTGTACAAAGACGACAAGGCCTTTAAAAAAACACACTCCAGGCTCTGCGTTTATTTGGCGTGTTTCACCATTCCAACAATCCTCAATCTCTCGTTGTCTCTCAATGTACTTGCGTTCATTTGGGTATCACTCAGAACTGCCTGCTGGAAGGCTTCATTGGCCTCGGCTCAGCGCTCATGGCCATCGTCGTCCTCCCGGCGGATTCGGCGAACCTTCTCAGCAGCATCCTCCTCCTCAACGGTGTCACCCTGGTGCCGAGCGTGCTGCAGTTCGCCGGCAGGTGGACGCGACGCAGGAATCCGCCCCGGACGTCCAAGCTCCTGAGTCTGGCCTCCCTCTGCTGCTGTCTCGTCGCCTTCGCCCTGTCGGTCGCCAAGGCGGTGTTGGTGGCGCCCGGCGACGGCTCCACGGAGGAAAGGTTCGCTCATCTGACGCTGCTGCTGCTGAGCCTGCTGCTCGTGTCCCTGTCGTGGTGGGAGAACTTCCTGCCGGCCGGCTGGCTCCAGGGATTCCGCGACGCCGTCAGCGAATCGCGGAACCTCGCCGAGTTCTACGGCTCGCTCGTGCGCACGCTCATCATCGTGGCGGTCGTGCTGCTGGACGCGGGCTTTGAGGGCGAGTGGAGGAGCTTCAGCGCCATCGGCGGCATCGCGGAACACCGCGAGAGCATGACGCTCGCCCTGGCTCTGCTGGGCGTGCAGGTGGGCGCCTCCATCCTCTGCAAGTGGCTCGCGAACGCCGCCTGCAAGATCCGCCAGCAGAGGAGCTGCTTCGCCACGCCGCTCTGCCTCGCCATTCCCGCCACCCTGGCGGTCGTCGCTGCCCTCCATCTCGCGCTCGACACTTCGGGCGACTCTCGCTATGACTGCGAGTCGGTCCGACGGTGGAACGGCTCTGAGCAGACGATGTCCGCAACTGCCTCATTCTTCTATAACCGCACGGCCGCTGCCGTCTGCTCATTCGTGGGTCCTGGCAAGGACTCCGTGGTGCTCACTTTGGGTGCCGGGGCGTTGTGGTGCGTGGCGCTGCTGCTGGCGGCGGTGCCCGCGTTGCGCCCAGGCGGTGCGATGCGCATGGAGCGCACACGCGAGCTCTTCGTGCGCCGCGCCCCGCAGCCTGCGTGTCTCGTCGCGGGGCTGCTGCTCAACCGGCGTCAGCAGCAGCAGCAGGAGGAAGAGGAGGTGGTGGTGCTGGAGGAGAGGAGGTCCGTATGTTGGTGTTAGTACGGCGTGGTGTGTACACGTGTGTGACTTGGTTTGTGTGTGACACGGTGTGTCTGTGAGTAGGTGAGTTTGTCTGAATAGATGCGTTTGTTACTCGGTGTGTCTGTATGTGACTAGGTGTCTCTGTGAGTATGTGTGTGTGTGTTTGTGTGTAGGTGTCTCTGTGAGTTTGTGTGTTTGTGTGTAGGTGTCTTTGTGAGTGTGTGTTTGTGCGTAGGTGTATCTATGAGTAGGCGTGTGTTTATGCGTGTAGGTGTCTCTGTGAATAGGTGTTTGTGTGTAGGTGTCTCTGTGATTAGGTGTGTGTGTGTAGGTAGGGAATGGCAGTGTCGCGGTTAGCGCACTGTGCTACGAACCCGGCAACCGGAGATCGATTCCTGCTAACGGCCAACATCAGTGACAATTATCTAAACCGATCATGATCCTCCTCTAGGTCGACTCAGCCTCAAATAAGCACCTGGTGTGGTGTGTAAACATCACCACTGGGGAGACAAAGACGGCCGGGCGTGGTGTTGGCTACCCACCCCCTTGTGCCGGCCTTCATAGGTGCTCGCTAACATCACTTGCCCCAATAGTCTGATCAGGCTATACAGGGGATCTTTGTTTGCTTGTTGTATCTATGTGTGGTGGGTGATTGGTGGGCATAATAAGCCGCCAACACTTTGGTTGAGCAGGTACTTCCAGTCAGGGGCCAACTGGGGGCAATAGCGAGTCAGGCCTGTGCTCAGCAGGACTCGTGGGTCAGGCATCCCAGGGGGGACGGTTGGGAACCGGAGGGGGACACCCCAGGCCCCCAGGTGGGGGGCTGGGGAGGATTGCACAACAATCCATGTCTCTCGAGAAGGTTCCAGATGATGGGCGTGACCAGGGTCGGGGTGACCCTGGGAGCCCCATAAAACCGGACCCCAGAGTGGCTGGATTCCGTTTGCCTCAAGCTGAAGACCCAGAAGCCCACCTGAAGATAAGGCCCTGGACCCCAAGCCCCACCGTCCTTATAAGGCCCAGGGCTCAGTGAGGCAAGTGGTCAATAGGCTAGGACCCTGAGGATCCCCCGACCCGATGCCCTTCACTGGGCCGGGTCTGTGTGGGCCAGGGTCGAGACCCGAGGACCTTGGCTGGGTCGGGTCAGCCTCCCCTAATTCCCGCTAACTGGAGGGCTAAAGAGTGGTTAGCCCCATTAGTTAAGGCACATTAGCCCGGAGGCTGTACCTCCTTAGGTTGTGGGTAGAAGGGGCCATTGCCCCTTCGTGTTAGGGACCTAGTGATGCTGTTATCGTTGTTATAAATAAATACGTGTTGCCTCCTAAGAAGACTCTGTCTCCATACAAACCCACTACATATGTGACTAGGTGTCTGTGTGGCTAGGTGTCTGTCTGAATAGATGTCTGTATGACTAGGTGTGTGTCTGTGTGAATGGCCACAAATCCCCTGAAGTCTCGTTCTGGGCTACATAAGTACTAGTTGCTAACAGCCTTTGCCCCAACCGTCTGTCAAGGCTATATGGGCGATCTTTGTTTTTAGTTTGTGGTAGTCTGGTCGATGCATTTGTCTATTTTTCGCGTTTTGGGTGTCGGAGGTAAAGTATGATCACATCCAAACGTGTTTTTTCATAATGATGACAATTTTTTGACGTTTGCCCTTCTATCCTACAGACCAAAATATGCACACCCCACACTGTCCAATGCATAAAACAGAGAACGGCGCTCTGTGATTCCCTCTCTCAATCCGAATACGATATGTTCTCGTTGTATCCTGTAGCAGCCAAGAGCAAGAGAGGGTGAAGATCTATCTGTGCGCAACCATGTGGCACGAGACCAAGGAGGAGATGACGAAGATCATCTCGTCCATCCTGAGGTAGTATATTCCCTACCGCCCGTTCCCATCAAGCGGTCGGATCCCACGGACCAGTGGGGGTCCCTCGCGAATATGCAGATAGGTGTGGACCAACCCATTAATTTCGTTCGGTCACGGCACCGCGCGCTTTCAGATGTGCTTCTACGGCCATCTGGAACGCTCTTCCCTCCGATATTTTTAAGCCACTGGAGCTATGGATGTTTAAATTATTTAGATTAACAACTCATTTCTTCAGAACTGCTTTTTGTGTTTAGTTTATTCTCCTTCCCCTCCACATCCGATTAGCACGGTTGGGAATGTCGAGAACATTTGGCCTCCTAACGTGGCAGCCAATCAGCTGATCGTATTTAATGTGGGTCCGTTCTTTGTATGTGACCATTGAGCGATGTTTGTGAATGGTGCAAGCTGTAAACAACTAAATCAACTTGATTTAACATATATAGGCTGCAAACATTATTATGATGCGTAACAATATTGATAGCCTGGACAGGGGAGAGCCTGGACAGGTGAGAGTCTCCTTCTTGAATGTGGATAATGGTGCTTGGTTGCTGCTGCGTGTGCAGCAGTGGGAGATAAATAGAGAGAGAGTTCCAGACGACTGCTGACTGGTGCAGCTACAGAGAAACGCCACTCTCACCCAGAAGCCGGTGCCAGATGTGGGTAGAGGTCATTGTGAGTTGAACTCCATAAGATGCGGTGGAAGTTTGCTGATATCAGTGGGATGAGAAAGGTGGAGGAAACGTTTCGGCGGGAGATCTTGGGAGAGCGCTCGATTGCAGAGGACAGCAATGCTGTACCGTGACCTTGACTCAATGGAGAGCCAGTAGCGGATTAACAATAACCACCCTTCCCCCTTGCCGCTGCCAGGCTGGACAGGAGTCAGCCAAAGGATCTGAATGTCGGTTCCGGCGGCAGAGGGAAGACGAAGAATAATGCGAAAAAGGAGGAGGAGACGCAGAAGGAGGGGGGAAATGAGGAGGAGGAAAATGAGAAAAAGGAGAAGGAGGAAAAGAAGGGGAAGGAGAAGACGGTGAAGCGGGAACCGTACGACTTCTCGGCTCACATCTACTTCGACGACGCCTTCGAGAGGAAGGGAGATCACATGGTGGTCAACCAGTTCGTGACCAGCCTCATGGACGTCATCGCAGAAGTCTGCCGGTCAGTGCATCGGATGTTATTCTGTGGTCGCGATGAGCTGGGTGGAGGGAGGGAGGGAAGGATGGATAGAGGCACGGGCCTTCTAATAACGAAGCAAGGGACGGCACAGGGAAGTTGAGCTCAGCTCGTGGTGTGCGCGAGAACAAGAAAAGGACGCGAACAGCTTGCGCAGATGACTTCGTTCAGAAGTGGATAGATCACAGTGAACGATGACGATGATTGGTGATGGTCACGCAGATGACCTACGTGAGTGCGGATCACAGGCATAGCGAGGCCTTCCTTGCGTCACCGTCACCGTTGTTGAGCACAGATCCGAAGGTGCACAAACTGACAATTGGCTGGCAAACAAAAACATAGTGGTGGGGGGTGTGATAGATGAGTGTTCACGCTCGTGTTTAATTGAGCAGGCAGCCTCATATTTTTATGCACGTCCATATGTACGTTGAACTTTTTTCACACCATGCAAAGCCAACCTTGCTCTAGAGTGCACAAGTCGCATGACATAATTTACACAAAACGGTGCAGCAATTGGGGAGATAAAAGCAGGCGGGCGTGGTGCTGGCCACCCACCCCCTCGTGTGTCGGGCCTTCCTTCATAGGTGCTACTGGCTAACAGTCCTTGCCCCCAACACTCTGTTGAAGGCTATACGGGGGATCGATGTCTTTTGTTCGTGCGTTGGTAAGAATTTGGGCAACGAGACGACTCAGTCTGGGCGACCAAGGCCCTCGACGCGGGTAGAGGAAGGAATCTTCAAAGTTCATGGGAACAGTAACGGTGGTTGTAGAAGTAGTAGCAATAGAAGAGCGATACGAAGGCGACTGACCGCTAGTGAGCCAGCGAGCGACTGGGAGCTAATATTTGAGTGCTGGATCATTGATCACCCACGACTGCTGCTGCTTTTTTCAATTCAGAATCAGAATTTTTATTTATACTGCAGGTGGAATTTGATGAGCTGCAAAGCTCTATTTCACAGATGTCCAGCAGGGGCGGGTCAGAACGTTACATCAACAAACAATACAAAATAAAACACGATAGGAGTGCCAAGTATAAGACAAGTAAGCAGATCACATAGGACAAAAATGAAACGAAACTATTTTAAATTTTACCAGGTAAGACCCACTGAGGTATTATCTTTTTACACGTCACTCTGTTGTTGTCGTTGTTGTTGTCGTTATTGTTGTCGTTGTATCCTCAAATCTTGTAACTCAATTTAACCCACTTCCCAAAGTGGTATCGTCTGAAAACTTGGTATAGTTATGTCATACTGATGACAATACTATATTCTATCATTAAAATAAAATAAAAATGTTTAAATATTATTTTTTTATATGTTATGTTTCGGCTTGGCTCTAATTGTCCACGGTAAACTGACTTTGGGTGAAATTGGCCACGATCCCTTACATTATGGCAAGATTAGGGGCCACTTCCTGGAGTCGTAGAGTTCTTCAATCAGTAGTACATTTCAAATAAGCGTGTTTAAAAAAACGTTTTTTTTCAATATTACTTATTTTCAGAAGCGTCCTGGCCACAAATGATAGCGCAACGAATTGGCTTATCACGTGGAAATGTAGAGCAGCCAAATAACCTAAATAATCTACATTTTGTCGAGTGCAGCAGTGAGGTAACAACTGGGAACTTCATCCCAGATATGACAGCAGCAGCAACAATGCAACATAGTAATTGGGGCGTGTCTTCTTTGTCGCCTGCGCTGCTGCTGCTGATGTGAAGGTATTTTGAGAAAAACTCAAATCATCCACAAGAGGCGCCCTCAATGGAGAGGACTCAGACGCCGTACGGAGCGCGACTCTCCTACAAACTCCCGCACGGCAATTCGCTGTGCGTGCACCTCAAGGACAAGGAGATGATCCGCCACCGCAAGCGCTGGTCCCAGGTATTTGTTGCATCTCTGGGCTTCAGATCTTCTGCCCCAAAGCTCATTGGGCCACAAACCCTGCAACCATATCCACACACAGAGCATAGTAGCAGCTGATGCGCTTATACATGACGATAATGATGCACAATTGGAAAAATAAATATCTCCGGGCAGTGTCTGGCGATGATACGTATGTATGTTGAACTTCTTTCACACCGTACCTTACCCACCGTACTAATAGGAGGTACAGGGAAGGAAAAAACATTTAACACAGAAAGCAGATCTAAAGAAATGAGTTTACAATCTAGATTTAAAAGTGCATAGCTCCTGTGCATTTCAAATATCGATAGTGGTCACTACCCAGAACAGAGCGACGGAACACAAAACGACTCAACGCCCGACTCACGACATGAACGCAGCAGCGATGATTCGCCACTCCGCTACTCCTGATGCAATCATCTGGTTCGTTAACCACCTCGATGTAAAGTTACAGCTCTCGCTCTACGAGTTGTCACCAGCATCTGCCTTACGGAGGAGATGGCAGTAGTTCACGCCTATTGATGCCATCTGTATGCTACCTCGAGAGTCATTCCCTCTTATGAAAATGAAATCACTTGATTCATAGTTCGTTTCATGTGCGCTGTTGAGTTACACTTGGGCAGGATGCGCCGTCATGGCCATTGTGTCGAGAATAATAACGGAGTGGCAGCCAAAGAATGGAACTTATCCAGGAGGTTTGGCCGCCGAGGAGATGGAGCGATGGAATCAGTCGGTAATGGAGGTTCTGGGTGGATAACGACTTAGGATCTCGTGAGATATCGTGACAACTTGGGTAGGTCTTAATCTAGTCGTGGATCGATCACGGCTGCTGCTGTTGCTGATGGTTATTATTAAACCCCTTGACGTGTTCTGTACAGGTGATGTACTTGTACTACCTCCTTGGCTGGAAGATCTACCGCAAGATCAAAACAGTGAAGAAAGATAAACAAGAGGAATGGGTGGAGGTAAGGGTCTTGTAAGCTGCAAAGACAACGATCCCTCGTGGCCATTAACAGACTGTTGAGGCAAGTGCTGTTAGCGAGCACCTGTTAAGGGCGGCACGGCACGCGAGCGGGTCGTGTGTCCAACACCACGCCCATCCGCCTTTGTCTCACCAGTGCTAATGTTAACTCATTTAAGGCTAAGCCGACCTTGGGGAGGCCGTTTTCCACTTCAGTATAAATGGGTAAGCCCTGCACATTCTTTGGATGGGCAGTTCCCGTGCGGTGGGGTAGAGTGTGAGTACTTCCCTCTCTTCCCCCAAGACGTGAGAGCAGTGTGGAAGTGTAGGCCAAATACACCCTGCTAGGGCGCCGCTGTGGCGAGATGTTAACTACCTCGCTTGGTATGCAGGAGGCACTGAGTTCGATCCCGGCCCTGACACCTGTATATTTTGAGTGTCTCTCTCTCCCCTTGGTCGTATGGATTTTTATCTGGGTCCTCTGGTTTTTCCCTCCACATTTAGAATCAACATCACGCATTTCGTGTATTTGCTATAAATATCCAAATGATAATCCACTTTGTTGAGCTATCATTTTTGATGCTAGCCAGGTCACTTCTGAAAAAGAGCTAATAGCTCACTTTATCTCATTTTCTCTCCCTCTGGGTGGTGGCCCAGTCGTAACGTGCACTATGCATGTCTGTACACGCAGAGTCGGCACATTTAGAAGTCTATCTTTGGTTACCTCTCTGGCACTCAACGCGCCATCATCACGTTGGTATTCAAAATTGCAATCGAACTTTTTTTAGATTAAGAAATATCTATATACATACACTTGTTACACTTGTTTAAAATATAAGAGCAAAATAGGTTTGCGACTGAGAGTTAGTTGTATGTATGTTTAACTTCTTTCACACCGTACGTAGCCAACCGTGCTAATTGGAGGTGCGGGGGAAGAATAACAAACCAAACACAAAACGCAGTTCTAGAGAAATTAGTGTTCTATCTCATTGATGATTTAAAAGTGCATATCTCCAGTTGCTTCCTAATATCGGAAGGAAGAGCGTTCCAGACTACCGTAGAAGTGCATCTGAAAGCGCGAGATGCAGTGCCGGTCTTTGTTCAATGGCTTACCAAAAGCCGCTGCTGTGAGGATGGCTGGAGTTAGTTGTTGTTGTACGCAAGCTAAAAGAGCCGCTTTGTTGCTGTTGAGTTGTCACTGTTAATGAAGTGACGATGGAGTCGAGTGTGCGCACCGCTTCGGGGAGGTTGTTTCCAGAGGTTGGAGCGCTGCAGATGACAATGATGTCTCCACCCGGTTGGTTGTTATTAGGAATCTAATGTAGCTATGCACTTTTAAATCATCTATTTTAAACACTCTTTTATTTTGAAATGCGGTTTGTGTTTAGTTTGTTGTCCTTCGACTAACACGGTCGGCTACGTACGGTACGAAAGAAGTTCAACATACATAGAATATACATACAACATACATACAGCATACATACGTTGTGTGTTTGGTTGTTGGAGGTTGGAGAAAGAGCGTTGGGGGTGAGGAGCTAAGTGAGTGGTTGCTTTGCTGGCTCTGGACGAGGTTGCGGCTGTAATGCCACCGCTGTTGCTGATCTGTCTCCATGCCACTACTCCCCGTTCACCGCCACAGAGGAAGAAGCGCAACACCTACGTGCTGGCCTTGGACGGAGACACGGACTTCTATCCCTCGGCGCTCTCCATGCTGGTCGACCGACTCAGGAGGGACCCCACCGTTGGCGCCGCCTGCGGAAGAATTCACCCGACGGGCGTGGGTGCGTAGACAGTTGTGGTGCGTGTGTGGTGCAGGATGTGTGTGTGGTGCAGGATGTGTGTGGTGCAGGATGTGTGTGGTGCAGGATGTGTGTGGTGCTAGTCGTGTGTAGTGCAGGATGTGTGCGTTGTGCATGATGTGTTTGGTGCAGGATGTGTGCGTTGTGCAGGATGTGTGTGGTGCAGGATGTGCGTGTGGTGCAGGATGTGTGTGGTGCAGGATATGTGTGTGTGTGTGGTGTAGGATGTGTGTGTGTGTGGTGTAGGATGTGTGTGTGTGTGGTGTAGGATGTGTGTGTGTGGTCAGGATGTGTGTGTGTGTGTGGTGTAGGATGTGTGTGTGTGGTGCAGGATGTGTGTGTGTGTGTGGTGTAGGATGTGCGTGTGTGTGGTGCAGGGCGTGTGTGTGGTGTAGGATGTGTGTGTGTGGTGCAGGATGTGTGTGTGTAGTGCAGGATGTGTGTGTGGTGCATGATGTGTGTGGTGCAGGATGTGTGTGGTGCATGATGTGTGTGTGTTGTGTAGGATGTCCGTGTGTGTGGTGCAGAGCAGTAGTGCAGTGTTCAGCGCACTGTGCTGTGGATTTACTCTCCAACAAAATGGTGGGCTGAAATAGTAACTAATTTGCACATTTTGCTTACGTGACAAACCTTACTGGCTGTGTCGGGTGGTGGAGGGTTACGACGCATTTATACCTATGCGATCTAACCCGAAAACCTTTATTATGAATAACAGAACGCCCTTGCTACCACAATATTCAGGATGTTTAAATACATTTAAATAAACACACACATACACACACACATAATCACAGTGGAAGGATTGGAATTAAATCAATACGCGTCCACCACAGCAGTGCCGAGTGCACATGGAGCAGAATTGTTATATCATGAAGTGATTCTAGATTTGAAGCTTTCGTGACTGCAAGGATTCATATCCTTTGGTTTTTTCGGTAAAGTCACGTAGGTAAAATAAGCGTTTGTGCTTTCGCTACGTTGTTCCCACCTGAAGAAGGACGCTTGTGTTGCACCCGAAACGTCGTGATTTAATTTAGTTTTCATTTATTTTATTTATTTTTTACCTACGTGACTTTACCGAAAAAAGCCAAGAGTATATCATGAAGTGGTCTGCATAAAACCACCACCACCACTAGTAATGGAAGTTTGACTCCACATAACTCAAATGAAATACCAAAATACTGCAAAGACTTTGGAGTAAATTGCGCAAATCCTAGAGAATTATTTATTGAAAACAAAATAAATATATTATCATACGTGGTCAATCCACTGCTGGATGAAGGCCTCCTCAAGTTGCCATCTCTCACGACTCTGCGATGTAATAATCAAACACATCACCAACCTTGGTAATCATCCAACCTTCCTGGCCAGCTGGCTCGCAAACATAATAAATGAATAAATAGACGGCCATCCCTTAGAGGTTAGGTGCCCAACAGACAAAATCTATCAATGAAATCTGCCAGGGGAATGTAGCAGTGGGCATAAGCTGGCATGTGCCATGCTGAGCCGAGGCAGACCGCAGGCTAACACCACACATAGTTGCCACGAAATAAAATTACGTGGCACGCACTAATATCTAATCTCGATATTTTAACGGCACAATTCAGATGTCATTCATTTGTTGAGTGGTCAAGCAAGGCGGAACCAGCGTTGGGCAAGGACACAAACCCCACTTTTCACCCAGATTTAGCCACCTCTTGACTCATTGTTACAAGAAAAATCCAATCTATTTATGAACACAATTTAAAATAAGCAAATAACACATACACAATTAAAACAGGGGAATAATTCAAAGAGCTTGTGTCGTTTTTACTTGACACCACCGATCCTTTGGCTCCCTGCCTTCCCGCCCTTCCACTGTGGCCTCCCGGATCGCTCTTCCCGGCTTCTATCCCTCACCTCCTCCCCTTTCTCATCACTCCTTCCTCTCGTCTCCCCAGCATGCCCTTCCCGACCCTCTAGCCATCATCTCTTCCTCCTAACCCTGCCTCCCTCTACACCCCCCAAATGTCTCCGATCCTCCCCTCCATTGCCCCCTGCCTATTCCCTCGCCCTCCTCCTGTACTTCTCCACCCCTCCTCTTGACCCACCTTTGATCCCCCTTAGTCAACAATTTTATTTCCTGCCAATCTCGGAATTGAAACCTCTAACGTCGCTCTCCACGATAACACAAATAAAACTTACCCTCGTGGTGGTTCCAATGCAAAAACCACAGTAGTTTTTATCAACAGATATACATACAACATACATACAACACACAATACAATATACAACCCACATACAACATATTTATCCAGGAAAACCACACCTGAATCCTAGGACTGCTGCATTGTGTTTTCACTATGAGTTGCGTTCAGACAATTAACCACAATTGTTTATATGCTGACAGGACCGCTTCTGTGGTATCAGAAGTTCGAGTACGCGGTAGGCCACTGGCTGCAGAAGACGGCCGAGCACGTGCTGGGCTGCGTTCTCTGCAGCCCTGGCTGCTTCAGCCTCTTCCGGGCTAAGGCCATCATGGACGACAACGTCCTCAAGACCTACACCACGGTGGCCACCGAGGCCCTGCAGTACATCCAGTGCGACCAAGGTAATCCTCGACGTGTGTCTAGATCTCGCACCTCTGATTAGCACCGTTGGTTACTGCGGTGCGAAAGAAGTTCAACATGTATACATGTCATGGTGGTGAGATGTTAACTCCCCTACCTGGTTTACAGGAGGTCGTAGGTTCCATTCCGACCCTGACACGTATATATTGGATTTTGGGTGTCTCTCTCTCCCTGTGGTTGCGTGAAATTTTCTCGGGGTCTTCCGGTTTTTCCCTACACATTTAGAATCAACATCACGCACTTAGAACATTTGGCTGATATTAATTTCTACATGATGAGACACTTCAATGCACTGGCGGAGCCAGTGGGGGGGGGGGGAGTGGCACGTGCCCCCCCCCAATGATCCGATTGAAATCCCTAATTCGATCAGATCATTGGGGTTTATTAGTAATAAATCGGCATTTTGCGACCCCCACTGCTACTGTGTAGCATATTATTATGTGCCAGGGACTCTATAAGATGATAGGACAATCGTCTTAGTCCATAATTGGCAATAAGTAATGGCAAAGCAGTTATAAGTGACTCAGAATTGTGCGCAGTTGCATATACAGTACACGACTTCTCTGAAGGCATACCTTCAGCGAGCGTGATGCCGATCACACACGGTTTGAATTAGACCCTCTATCTATGGCTGCGCCATCGCCGCACACGCGTCAAATAAAAAGCAAGGGACAAGTCCTTGCTTACTAACATCTCCTTACTTACTAACAACTCCTTAATTACTAACAACTCCTCTAACATTTTTAATTTTGCTTGAGGGGTTGCCCCCCCCCCCCCCACTGAAAATCCTGGCTCCGCCATTGCTTCGATGACCTTTTATTTGTGGCCAGGTCGCTTCTGAAAAAGGGCTACATGGCACACTGGGCCTTACCTGGTAAAATTATATTTAAAAGATAGTTTAGTTTTATGTTATAGATGTAGTGGAGTAGGAAGGTGTGCTGGGGAAACTGCGCGATTGTATTGATCACATGGACAGTTTGGGGTTATTTGGGGGTTAGCCTATGGAAGGCGTAAACAGCGTGGGTCGCCTTAGGACAGGCACGTGCAGAAGCTGAAAGGTGAGGTAATCGGTTGGGCCAATTAAGGTAGACGCGAAGCAACGGCGGTGATTGGCTGGGACTGTTGCTGGGACTGGAGAGGCGCCGGGATGTCTGAGAGTAGACAGGTGGTGGATGATGCGTTGTGTGCGGAGGCACGCGGGCCAATCAATTAGCAATAATGTGAAGGGGGATAAATTGGGAGGAGACACAGAGAGTGGGAGAGTCGGAGCTGAAGATAATTGGGAGTGGGAGCTGAGGAGAGTTGGGGTCCGGAGTTGGAAGATAGGACTGTGTGTAGAGTTAGCGGAGCTGAAGAAGACGAAGCACTTACCAGTTGAGTGAGCATAGAGTTAGCGGAGCTGAAGAAGACGGAGCAGTTAGCAGTGGAGAGAGCGTGGTGATAGAGGAGCTGGAGACGAGGTCTGCGGAGACGGAGAAGTGAGATTGGGTTTCGCTGTGTGCGACGACGCTGTATAGCGGAGGAGCTGAGGAGGATAGCCAGCAGTGGAGAGCGCATAGGAATAGAGTTGAAGACGTGTGTGTGCGGAGCAAAGCGACGTGATACTGGGAACCAAGGTGGTGAGCGAGACGGGCGAAGCACGGCGAGCGAGCCGTGGTGTCCAGGATACGGTGGAGTGTGGCGAATGTTTCCCTTCAACGTGACTTTACCGAAAGAGCTAAGAATATGAATTACTGCAGTCACGAAAGCTTTAAATAAAAAAATAAAGAAGTGGTTGAAGAAAAACAAAAGTTGTTCGTGTAAAGTTCAACCACAACATACATATCGTGGAAGTAATTGCAGCCACACTCGATCTGATTGTTATTTTCCCACCTAACCCTTCTGGCTGGTGTAGGCAATGCAGATATGTCGCATTGGTAAAAAAAAAAAACCCTACAATTATATGAACATCCCGTCGACAAACGTGGACGTTGTATGTATTTAGAACGTCTTTTGCACAATACATCGCGGTAATACATGGGTCGAGACCCCGCAACGTCAATTTCATACGTAGGCTTTCACGATCAATATTCATGATTCACAATGCGTTCATGCTGGGTTAGATGATCGTGTAAGTATAGTGTTAATTTATCTTAACTATAAGCGTCCACCACCTGACAGAGCCAATCGAGTAAAGTTGTTAGGTCATAGGGCAACTACGTAAATTGTTTTGGTTTAATTATCAAAAGCCGAATATTGAAAGGCAAGCAAAATATTGAGAATATTTACATGAATATACATATATTATTTATTTACATTAACTTTTTCAGAAAAAAACAATCTGTTCACACTTGCCCAATTGACAACTTGAATGATTTCGATATTATACCTGCACGATAATCGGACCCACAATGAACGAATGATGAATCATATTCTTGGTTCTTTCAGTAAAGTCACGTAGAAGGGAAACAATAAAATAATACTTTTTTATTGTTTCCCTTCTACCTGACTTTACCGAAAGAACCAAGAATATGAATCCGTGCAGTCACGAAAGCTTTAAATCAGAATGATGAATCATTATAATCCATAATAAAGATTTTTGGCGAATTCCCCGATGATGCTGGATGTAATTACCAGCGAAACGTCATATTCAAACTGTAAATGTTGTGGATTCACTCTTCAACACACCGGTGGGCTAAAGTAGTGAACTAATTGTCTTTTGTCAACGTGACACTTTATTTTGCTGATTGGCCATGTCGGGTAGTGGAGGGTTTCGACACATTTATAAATAACGCGATCTAACCCAAAACCTTTATTATGAATCATTATAATGTTGGTCTCTGCTTTCTGAGTCTGATTTTTATGCACCGCTCCCCTCCCCACCACGCCCTCTGTATGAATGGCTTCACCACGCAGTTGATCGGGAGGTCGCATGTGGCGACTCTAAGGTGTGGGTATTCAGATCTCTTTCCAAGACGTCTGGCGAACTTGCAGAGATGAGGCCAAAATACCACGAGAGAGGGAATGTTGCCGAGCTCCTCTGCCAGCAGTGGAGTGAGCAAGCTGGGGAAGAGACGCACCTCCTGCAGCCTTCATGATTAATACAACATGTGCACTATGCGAATTTGACGAAATGTGCCATCGAGTACTCAGAGGTGAAAGGACAAAGTCCCTCATATACTGTACCACTCTGAACTAGGTGAGAGCCTGGACAGGTGAGAGCCTGGGCGGGTGAGATCCTAGACAGGTGAGAGCATTGACAGGTGAGAGTCGGCTTCCTGAAGGCGGATGATGGTGCTTGTTGCTGCTGCTCCTGCGTGTGCAGCAGTGGGAGATACAAAAAGATACAAAGAGAGAGAGAATTGCAGACGGCTACTGCCGGTGCAGCTACAGAGATACGCCGCTCGGCCAGGCTGTGGGTACGACGAGCCGGCTACCCTCTAACTCACGGACGTCCCCTCTCCCATGTGTGGGTGCAGGTGAGGACCGCTGGCTGTGCACGCTGATGCTGCAGCAGGGCTGGCGCGTCGAGTACTGCGCCGCATCGGACGCCTACACTAACGCCCCGCAGGAATTCAAGGAGTTCTTCAACCAGCGGAGGCGCTGGGGCCCCTCCACGATGGCGAACACCTTCAGCATCCTGGAAAATGGCGTCCGCACGGCCAAGAAGAACCCGTCCATCTCTCGACTCTACATTCTCTACCAGATCTTCTACACTGCCACCTCCATCATGGGTCCGGCCACCGTCTGTCTCATGATTGCAGGTGATTTCGGGTTGTCACGTGTCCTGGGTATTTATTTTATTAATCCGGGTTCATCCTTTTGATGCAAGGACTGCATCAAAAGAGAGGGCACCATGGTGGAGAGGCATTAACTCCCTCGCCTGGTATACAGGAGGTTGTGGGTTCTATTCCGACGCCTGTATATTTGGAATTGGTATGTTTCTCCTCGTGGTTGTGCTGTTTTTCTCCTGGTCCTCCGGTTTTTCTATCCACGTTTAGAATCAACATCACGCGTTTATACTATTTGGCTGCTATACATTTCCACGTGATAAGCCACTTTGTTGAGTTATCATTTCTGGCCAAGTTGCTTCTGAAAAAAGAGCTACATAGCTCAGTGGGCCTGATCTGGTGTAATAAAAATAGTTTGGTTTGTGAAAAAAGTTTACTTGGAACACTTCTGCTCACAGTCGTTGTTCCTGCGACGAGATTTATGATTGCTATATTTTCTGATAACAATCGTCCATCGTTATGTGTTTACCGCACATAGCCTCAAAGCGATTGCTCGTGTTAATCCTCTCATCGTAACATATGCACACTGCTTGCGTATTAATGATATTGTGAGGAGTATTGCTTGTGTGCTGGGGTATTTAAACTGCTGTATGTTTCTTTCAGCAAAATAGTTATTTACACACAGGCTGCATGACTGTTAATCTGAGTGCACTCTTTACTTTACTGCTGGTTGGACGGTTGTCGTTGTCAATCGTGGTGGTGATGGTAATGATGGTGGTGATGGTTATGATGATGGTGATAAGGAGGAACAAGAATAACTTTAATCGCTCTGACAGCTACAGGCTTAGTGCGACCTGGAAGCGTATTATTAAATAATACACATTACATTTTGATTTAAAGAATTACTAATCTACAACTCATTACTAATCATAACCAATGACTGATTACTAATCGATTATATAATTACAATACCCCCCCCTCCGCCTCTAATCACTGCACCTGATATGAGTTAAGTGATGACGTCACCCTGCTGCTCTATATAAAACCGGGAGCAAGCGAGGGCTTTACCATTCTGGCGAATTGCCCGATGATGCTGGATGTATTTACCAGCAAAACGTCGTACTCAAACTGTAAATGTGGATTCACTCTTCAACACACCGGTGGGCTAAAGTAGTGAATTATTTGTCTTTTGTCAACGTGACACTTTTTTTTGCTGATTGGCCGTGTCGGGTGGTGGAGGGTTACGACACATTTATAAATCAACGCGGTCTAACCCAAAAACCTTTATTATGAAGGATGGTAATGATGGTGATTATGACGGTGATGATGATGCCTATGATGGTGGTGATAATGATGATGGTGGTTGTAGTGATGATGATGGTAATGATGGTGATAGTGGTGGGGATGATGATGATGATGATGGTATTCAGCTCGTGTGGTATTTGTCTCGTGCCGGTGCTCAGGTTGCTTTACTTTCCTTTTCAAAATGGACCAAAACTGGGCACTCCTCATCGCCATCGTTCCGCCCGCTCTGTACATTGCCGTCTGCTTCAAGACAAAGCCCGACACGCAGATCAAGGTGGGCACCCACGCTTCTCCTGCAGCAGCACGCAGCACTCATTACACACAACGTGCTTCCCACAAATGAACCACAATGTATGTTGAACTTGCAAAACCAATTACAACACGTGGCAACGTCCCATAGCGCAGTATGTTGCAATAATCGTGCCTTATCAATACTATGCTACACGTCACCGTGGTGGTTATATCACGCCTCAATAGTGGTCAAATGTGTCCTAGAGCCCTGATATGAAAATTACAGGACTTGACTACATTTTGCACGCGGTGATCACATGACATATTCTGAGGACGATGCTGAGGCTATTTATATTCATCGAAAACTGAATCCTGGAGTCTGCGACTGCCACATCTGATCCTCCCACAATTTCATTTCTTGCAAACCACACGTGCACTGCTCGCATGCAATCTTTGAGGTTGCCGAGGCTCTCCATATTTAACTTGGACTTCATTGCGGTGTACAATTGTGAGTCATCGGCATATTTATAGAACTTCATGTTACGCAGTGAGATGATATCAGCGATCAGAGAGATGTATTTTGAAAATTGGAAGGGCCCGAGGATGGACCCCTGTGGTACGCTGACTAGGCATGGCATAGGCGATGACTTTTTGTCACCCAGCTTGATGAACTGTAATCCACCATACAGGTATGACTCAATCTGCTTCAGTGCCATACCCAATGCAGCGAACTTTGACCTTATCTGCTCAATGAGTATCTCATGGTTAATGGTGTCGAAGGTGGCTGAGAGATCGAGGTCAACCAAGGCTGCGATGCACCGGTCATCCATGATCTTTTAGAGATCAACACTGACCTCTCGTAGAGTCCTCTCAGGGCTGTGGAATTGTCGGTACGCCGACTACAATGCAGTGACGTGGGGAATTAACCGCTTCAGACATAGGCGCTCTATGACCTTTGAAATCATACTCATGTTTAAGGTTGGGTGATAGTCTGGGTGGTCACTATGGCTCAAGCCAACTTTTTCAGGAGCGGTGCTACCTGCGCCATTTTGCAATGGTCTGGGAAACAGGTGGACAATCGGCAGCACAAGTACGTCCAAGCATACTTTGAGAATAAATATCGGGATTTAGTCGAGTGGCAATGTCTTATTTGGAAGCCATGCAAGAAACATTGACACCTCTGCTACCGACGATGGTGCCAGGGTCTCGACTTTGCATTGGTTATCAGGTTGATCAAACTCAGATGAAAGAGCGGGAGAATACGTTGCATGCAAGTTAGAAACTGCCATCTTAATCATCACTTTATTGTCAAAGAACGTCACACGTACTGTGCACAGACCGGGTTGACTGGTTGATGGGGTTGGAGTGCAACAGGCCCTTCACAACGTGCCACAGAGCACGCGGTTGCGAGCCAACTCATTGATGCGCAGACCATAGAATGATCTGCGAGACTCAATAATGAGCTGGTTTGCAGATCTGCAGGCGGCTCTGTAAGGGAGTGTGACAGTCTGGAAAACAGTTTTCTTCCAAAGATACCCCAGCCTCCTCTGCATCTGTTTCACAGTGATCGCCTCCAGTGACAGAAAGTCACTCTGCACGTTCTCTTTGTGGTTTTTTGGATGGACACGAGTTAATCAAGAACAGTGGTAATGTCATTTTCTAATTGACCTGCAAATGAATCGACCGTTGATGCATTATTCAGATGCGCCGATGATTACAGGATCTTGTGAGGGAAAGCATCGTGGTCCAGTCCTTTCCAGTCTCTCTATGATATCGTTGTGATGGGTGGGCGAATAATCGGTAATGCCACTTTGCACGTCATAAGACTGTGATCCGAATACCCACGTTTTCGATAAGAACATTGGTCAAAGTTATGACATCTCTAAATGTGAAGATGTAATCCAGTATATTTCACGAGCGACGTATTGAGCCGCTGACGTGCTGGGTTAAACTGACTGTTGAACATCTCGGCAAAATCACTGTTGATTTTACTATAAGAACCAGTCGGTCCGACACAGTTCATTTCACCACAGATGATGTAGCGATAGCCAAGTGACCCACAATCTAACAGACCAGAAAGCTAGGAAAATTATTCTGACAGCGGTGAAGACGATGGTTGTAGATGACAGCTATTGTAAGCCCCCGCTTGCTCTTCTTGGTTCTTTCGGTAAAGTCACGTAGAATGGGAATAAAATAATAAAATAAAACAATAACATTTCTCACGACGTTTCGGCCACAACACAAGTGGCCTTCTTCAGGTGAAGAGACAGGTCTGTCCGGAAGACAGAGCTTGAATGAACGCTGTCAAGCATGGACCGCGTCTATTAAGCTGTGTGGGCGGAGTTTAAATATGAATTTGCATGTTACCAGCATCACCTCCGGAGAGGAGGAGGGTGGGGGCTGGGAACACAAGTAGGGAAGAAAGGCAAGAGCAACAGCCAAGGTGCGCTGTTGTGTCCTGAGTTACCTTATGACTATGCTATAAACTGGACTACTATAACAGGTCCCTGCAGGGTGGGCTGGTAGGAACATTGGAATTTTTACACCCAACAGCAGGAGATTTCACTTCGTTAAAGTATTGAAAGGGGACAGACGGACGGACGGACACATTAATCTATTGCAGGCTGGTACACTCAGTTTACAACTTCGTTCCTACCAGTATAATACAATATTATACCTTCCAATCTAAACTACATGGTGTAATATCATATCCATAGACAAATTTCACCTTTGAATTATACAATGTTTTACTTTACACTACCCTATACTTTAGAATAGAAAATATTAGACTTGTGACATTAAACTACGTCTTATTATATGAACCTAACTATATACCACACTGCTGTATATTCACTATGCAATTACGATGCTATATATTGCCTTATGAGTTATGCTAAACATTACAATGTTATACTATTAATTATTGTACTACATGTTATAAACCATACCATTGACCGTGGTCTAAGAGGTATTAAGAGGCAATGCCAGCGAAAGGGCTGGGGTCTGAAAGTCACCGTAAAATACAATCAATTAAGAACCGAAATGGTTTGAAACATCTTTCCAATGGTTACTAAGCCAGAATCCATCTTCTTGGTTGAAATTGTCTCTGTGCTTGTATATGTGGATGGCCTCATGAACGAATCTCTCATGGTAGCCGGGTGGCTTGCAAAGAACCTCCGTCTTGGAGAAGTCAATGTCATGTGAGCCCACTGAATTATAACAGTGATCTGCCACAGCAGAGGAGTTCGTCCTACCGTGTTTAAAGTCTGCTTTATGTTCACGGATGCGGTCCGAGATATGTCATTTGGTTTCTCCAATGTAGCTGCTACCACAGAGGCAATTTAGTTTGTAAACGCCCAGGTACTGTATGTCTGAAACCACATCTTTTACAGATGGAACCAGGTCACGGATTTTATGTACTGTGTTGAATCGGACCTGGATCTTGTGTTTATTCAGGACTTTGGAGATATTTTTTGTGACCCCCGCAATGTAGGGTAAGGTGATGGTTTTGAATGGCTCCTCAAGAGGATCCTTCTTCATGACTGGAGTGATGGCTTTGCGGATTGTGTAGTCGGAGTAACCATTAGCCTTGAGAGCTTGGTGTACGTGTTTGAGTTCACTGGCAATGTGATCCTGGTCGGAAATGCAATGGGCTCTATGGTGTAGAGTCTTGATGAGGGAGTTCTTCTGGGATGGATGGTGGTGGGAATCCGGTTTTAAGCAAGCATCCATATGGGTAGCTTTCCTGTAGACAGAGTGGCTCTTTTAATTAAGACATCCAAAAAGGGTAGCTTGCCTTCTTTTTCGACCTCCATGGCAAATCTGATGGCTGGGTGTATGGAATTGATGTGGTTGAGGAATTGGTCTAGAGCAGATCGGCCATGTGGCCAGATGACAAAGGTGTCACCCACGTACCTCTTCCATAAGGTCTTACGTAGAGTGGCAGTCTGGATGGCGTCAGTTTCAAATTTTTCCATAAACACGTTGGCTACAACTGGAGATAGGGGGGAGCCCATCTGTTTGTAGAAAGTTCAATTCCAGGTGAAGTATGTGTTGGTTAAGTAATGTCTCACCAGGGGGGTGTTGTATATGTGGTGTATGAAAATTTGATGAAAATAATGACAATTAAATGAAATTTGAAATTTGCATAATTTGTCCGAAAATATGATGATTTGGGTAATTATGCATATAAATTATGCTAATTCGAGAGATAATCGTATTAATTTATGCGAGTGGGTGTGTTTATGTGAATGACAGCCTTTTTGATAATCAGGCCCCGCCTCGTTGACGAGGTGGGGTTATCAATCGGGATAATGCAATCAATCGTATGCAGCTATGCTAGTGTCAACTCGGCTTCATTGTCTAACTTCGTATTATCGATCAGTATAATACAATTATTCTCGCTTTGACATTTATTGAGTATGGATTGGTGTGTTTATGTATTTTAGGTCCCCAAGTTCATATCTCATCGCAGAATCAGATCTTATGCACTTATGCAAAAATTTCAGGAAAGAATCACACGACCACTTCTGCATTAATCAATTTATTTCTAATTAAACCTTAACTCTAATATAGTATGTGAACTCTCAATCTCGGAATCAATACAGTGTCATCAACAACGGTGTGATTTCACTTTGACAACGTCACATTGATTCCTTTCCATATGACATGAGCCGTTGGAGAGAAAGTTAAAACATGTATATAATATTCGAACCAAAAACCTTCACTTATAATATGCAAGTTCATATATTTGAAAATATATAGCCCACACCGTCCTGCATTCATTTATAGATCCATAAGCAATTATTCCAGGCAATTCTTATCCGTTGTTTTCCTTTTGGTATCAGAGCAATTAACTCTTATGCAGTGTAACACGAGCGTATGGGAAATATGAATACATTTCGATTTAAAGCTTTCGTGACTGCAAGGATTCATCTTCTTTGGTTCTTTCGGTAAAGTCACATAGAATGAGAATAAAATAATAAATTGAAAATAAAATAACACAATAAAATTCTCACGACGTTTCGGCCACAACACAAGCGGCCTTCATCAGGTGAAGGGACGAGACTGTCTGGAGGACAGCGCTGGAGCGAACAAAGCCACGCTCAGATTGCGACCTTTAAGCTGTGTGAGAAGAAACAAAGCGCCTTGACAAAGGAATTAGCATAGAATTTAGCATTGAAATAGCTGAGTGATTAGCTTGTGACTGGTCACAGAAATGGCTATGTTAAAGTTAAAGCATACACATCCACTAATCACTAATCACTCAGCTATTTCAAAGGAATTAGCATAGAAATTCTATGCTAATTCCTTTGTCAAGGGGTGCCTCTGTGGATGTGTATGCTTTAACTTTAACATAGCCATTTCTGTGACCAGTCACAAGCTAATAACTCAGCTATTTCAATGCTAAATTCTATGCTAATTTCTTTGTCAAGGCGCTTTGTTTCATCTCACACAGCTTAAAGGTCGCGATCTGAGCGTGGCTTTGTTCGCTCCAGCGCTGTCCTCCAGACAGTCTCGTCCCTTTACCTGATGAAGGCCACTTGTGTTGTGGCCGAAACGTCGTGAGAATTTTATTGTGTTATTTTATTTTATCAATTTATTATTTTATTCTCATTCTACGTGACTTTACCAAAAGAACCAAAGGAGAATATGAATACAGTCCTTAATGTTGTGCGAAGGTATTCATACGAAAAGACAAATAAAAAACAGTTATTATTCTCAAAGGCACAAATCTCAATAGATTCATCGGCAAGATCATTTGACTACAGAAATGGTTTGGAGTAAGGGCATGCGATGGTGTGCGCTTTTTCCCCGAAGATCTTTATCTTATACCAAGTTTTAATTAATTGTGGACCAGATTGCCTGACAAAGATCTGGTTGGACACACCATTCCCCACGTGAGCGTAGTTCTGCAGAAGAAGGTGTCAATAATCAATTCGTATTGATGGATCTGTTGGTAATTTATGTGATTGGAAGTACCATCACAAAACAAAAGGATTAAGAAGGAAGAAATATTATGTATATACTTATAAACGACGGACTGTTATCACACGATCTGTAGCGATGCTTCCACGGCCAGATGGTTCAGGTTTGAGATTGTCTTTGTCCCTGATATAAATTGTGTTGAATAGTCAGTGTTCGGAGTTGATTCTTTGTCAAGCAGACGCCTGATTTGCCGTGTGGTGGGGCGGTGTGCGTCATACGTATCAGTCGGTTCTTCTGTCACCGTAGTGAACTGGTTCAGCTGACGTAGGTTGACCAGTTGACACGCAGTTGCGGAACTCGGTCGGTAGATGGCGCCCACAGCTCGCTCGCAGCGTGCACAGTGGTGTTGAGTGTTGACCCAGTTGCGCAATCGGCGCTGGCGATGCAGGTTCGTTGCAATACTACTTTTGATGATGCTGACTCGCACCACGTAGCCTCGTCGCTATCAAGCGGGTCTTGCCTGTTTACTGATAAGCTGTCGGCAAGCTGATGAGCCGAGCTGAGCTAAGCTCAGCCGAGCTGAACCGTGCTCCGATGAGCCGGCCGAACTGAGGTTTCAATGCTGCAGTGTCCTATTTTTATGCCAAAATCCCTCCTCTTGGTTCCTCCCCACAAGGCGGAGCTTCTTTTGATTTAGCTGTGTCGTGGTCTGTCCGTATGTGTGTGTCCGTACGTGTGTGTGTGTCCTTGTGTGCGTCATTTAGGGCATAGTTCTGTTGTCCTTCTCTTTCCATTAACCACCAAAAGTAAAACAAACCGATGTTACAAATCGTCTCGAAGGCGTCTCTCTGTCTCTCTCACAATCTAGAGGGAGGCGATATTCCCTCCTGTGTGACCAACTCTCACCGCTTCCCAGACCCAGGCCTCCTCTTTCCATAAACCATAAAAAACAACAGGTGTTACAAATCGTCTCACAGGCATCTTTGTCTGTGTGCACAACCTGGAGGGAGGGGCGGCATTCCCACGTGATAAGCCACTTCGTTAAGCTATCATTTGGGCCAGTTGGCTTCTGAAAAGAGCTGTATGCCTCAGTGGGCCTTACCTGGTAAAGTAAATAGTTTATTTTTTTTGTTTAAGGTGGCCATGGTGCTCACCGTGGTCTACATGTTTCTCATGACGGGCACGCTGCTCGCTATGGTCGGCGACTTCATCAAGAACGGCATCCTCACGCCCAGCGGCATCTTCTTCATCATGCTTGCGGGCATCTACCTCATCACCGCGGTGCTGCACCCACGCGAGTTCTTCTGCATCGTGCACGGCTTCATGTACTTCATCTGCATCCCCACGGGATACCTGCTGCTGCTCATCTACTCGCTGGTCAACATGTACAACGTGTCATGGGGCACGCGCGAGACCAAGGCGCCTTCTGAGCCCAACCCAAAGGAGGTGAGTTACTTTGCTTGTTATCGTTATTCTTGTCGTTTTTGTGTCCAACGCTATTTGGAGTGAAGCTTTCGTGACTGCAGGAATCCATACTCTTTGGTTCTTTCGGTAAAGTCACGTAGGTGTAAAATAAAATAAATCACGACGTTTCGATCGCAACACAAGCGGTCATCCTCAGGCAGAAAAATCGCTAACCTTTCTCGAGAGATGCCGTGATAACAAGGTAATACCACATATATAACTTTGTTGTAACTGCTCTGTCGCTGGTTCAGCAGTTCTACTGCTGGAATATATACATATTTTTTTCATGAGGACGACTGCTTGTGTTGTGATCTAAACGTCATGATTTATTTTATTTTACACCTACGTGACTTTACCGAAAGAACCAAAGAGTATAGCTACTTGGAGTGTTGTTCCATTCTAGATTTGAAGTTTTCCTGACTGCAGGGATCCATACTCTTTGGTTCTATCGGTAAAGTCACGAAGGTATAAAATACAAATAAATTAAATCACGACGTTTCGATTGAAACACAAGCAATCATTATGAGGTGTGAGAACCACAGCAAGAAAATGTTTACTGAAGTAGGAGAGATGCCAAGGTTATATTGGTCAGAGAGGGGTGGGGGAGGGGGTGAATAGGGGGAGGGGAGCGTAGCGTGGACGTTAGGGATTGGAACTTGAGACTGGGCGGGGGGGAAGTGGGCGGGGCTAAAAGTGAAAGGCTGAGGAAACTAAAGATGCGTGGGGGGGGGAGCAAAGCAGCAACACGACTGCAGCCAAAGCCGATGGGGGCGCCCAAAGAAAAATAGCAGCACTGCTATCGGACCTGGATCTTGTGTTTGTTTAAGATTTTGGCAATCTTTTTGGTAATGACTGCTATGTATGGTAACGTGATGGTTTTGATCAGCGTCTCAGGGGGTTGTTTCTCCAGGGTTGGAGAAACCGCTTTGCGGATAATGCGGTCAGAGTATCTATTCATCTTAAGGGCATGGTATACGTGTTCCTGTTCACTGGCTAGGTGGTGTTGGTCAGAAATGCAATGGGCCCTATGGTGTAGTGTTTTGATGAGGGAATTATTCTGTTGCTGGATGGTGGTGGGAATCAGGTTTCAGATATGCATCTGTGTGGGTCGCTTTCCTGTAGACAGTATCCCAAAGATACATCAGGTTTATTCTCAAACAAAACATCCAGGAATGGTAGCCGACCACCCTTCTCCACTTCCATGGTGAATTTGATGGATGGGTGTATGGAATTGATGTGGTTGAGGAATTGGTTAAATGTTGGCAGGCCATGTGGCCAAATTATGAAAGTGTCATCCACATATATCTTCCACAAGGAAGGACGTATGGTGGATGTCTGGATGGCATCTGTTGCAAATTTCTCCATGAGAACATTCGCTATCACTGGTGATAAGGGGGAACCCATGGGGGTACCTTTGTTTTGTTTGTAGAAAGTACCATTCCAGGTGAAGTAAGTGTTGGTAAGGCAGTGCCTAACCAGAGTAGGAACATCAGGGTTTAGTCCATGTTGGACTAAACCTAAGGTGTCAGGTACTGGAACCTTGGTGAACAGAGAAACCACATCAAAGCTGACGAGATGATCATCTGGGGACAGTGATATGCCCTTGATTAGAGAGACTAAGTGAGCTGAATTAAGTACTGCTGAGCTAGTCTTACCAAGTGAATGGAAGCAAGGTATCAGACAGAAAATGGGCCAGCTTGTAGGTAGGTGAGTTGACAGTGGAAACGATGGGCTGAAGTGGAGTGCCTTCTTTATGGATCTTAGGAAGACCATAGAATCTGGGTGTTCTAGAAGCAGAAGGTTTTACGGAGAGCCGTTTGACTGGTTCGATAAGAGAAGTCGAGCTGGTAGTGATATTATTGTTTTTTTGTAGTCAGGCTGTTAGTATGATCTTTGTTGATTTTGGTGTAGATACCATCATTAAGAAGGTCCTGGATTTTGTTGTTGTATGTGGTTTTATCCATGATGACAGTGGCATTGCCCTTATCAGCCGAGAGGATAATTACGTCATCCCTCTTTTTCAATTTTTTTCGAGTTCCGAGCGCTCGTCTTTGCTAATGTTACTAATGGTTTTTTTGGCATTTTTAAAGATGATGGCAATTTCAGCTCTAGCAACGTCTGTCAGGATGTGTCCCAAGGCTTTGAGGGCTATGTCAACCTGGGAGATAATATCATCCACTGGGATATGTTTAGGGGTGACTGTGAAATTCAACCCTTTAGCTAGTACCGATTTTAGGCTGTTAGAGATTGGGATGTTACTCTGATTGATGACAATCTTGTTAACATCTAACTTTTTAACGTGTGAATCAGGCTTCTTTTTTGACAGGAGGTTGCATCTAGCGATCAAGTTAACTTTACATTTGGTTGACATTGAATTAGCAGAGGAGACTGTCATGTTATCAACATAGTCCCAATCAGAATTGGACATGTTGGCTGTTAATATTAGGTGTGATTGTAAGAGAGTCTTGTCTAAACTATCAAGTTCAAATCGGAGCAATTTTATTATTTCTGAGATTAGTGATAGGCTGGCTTTAAACAAGATCCATTTAGCATTAGGAGAAGTGACAGTAGTAGAAGTGAGTGTAAATGCGATAGGTACTACCTGGTTATCGCGTCATCTCTTGAGGAAGGTTAGCGACTCGATTAGCTGCGCCTTCTTGTTCCGTTGTCTGTTTGAGAAGAAACCTGATGGTTCTTTGGGACACTGTCTACAGGAAACCCACACAGATTCCTGTCTGAAACCTGATTCCCACCACCATCCTGCACAGAAGAATTCCCTCATCAAAACACTACACCATAGGTCCCATTGCATTTCTGAGCAACACCACCTAGCCAGTGAACTGGAACACATACACCAAGCCCTTAAGATGAATGGATACTCGGACCGCATTTATCTGCGAATTGAGCAATCATTGGAAAGATGTTATTAACCAGGTACAAATTTAACTGTTCATGTTTGTTCCATCTTATTTACCGGGTACTATTCTATTTTACCGAGTTAATTGCATCCCCAGCGTTTAGCAGTGCTGCTATTTTTCTTTGGGCGCCCACATCGGCTTTGACTGCAGTCGTGTTGCTGCTTTGCTCCCTCTCCCCCCTGCGCATCTCCAGCTCCCTCAGCCTCTCACTTTTAGCCCTGCCCACTTCCCCCTGCCCAGTCTCACGTTTAAATCCCTAACGTCCACGCAACTCTCCCCTACCCCTATTCCTCCCCTCCCTTTCCCCCCTCCCACCCCTCTCTGACCTATATAACCTCCTTAACCTCGGCATCTCTCCCACTTCAGTGAACATTTTCTTGCTGTGGTTCTCACACCTGATGATGATTGCTTGTGTTGCAATCGAAACGTCGTGATTTAATTTATTTTTTAATTTTATACCTACGTGACTTTACCAAAATAACCAAAGAGTATCTTGCTCCATTCTCCTCTGTTGCTCTGTCCCGCACCTCTGATTAGCATGATTATCTACGTACACTGCGAAAGAAGTATAACATTTGTCCCCCACCCCCCTTAAGAGACAGATCCCCCGTGTAGTCTTTAACCGACTGTTGGGGCAATTGCTGTTAGCGAAAAGGACCTGTGAAGGCTGGAATGGCACAAACGGAGGTCGGTGGCCAGAACCACGCCGGCCACCTTTGTTTCCCTTGTGGCGATGTTAAATAACCACCGCATTAGGTACTCATTTTTGAGGCTGAGTCAATATAGGGGAGGCCAAGGACTGGTTCAGATGTATGTATGTTGTGGGTGTCGGGGAGGAAGTCGTACCGTGGCTCGCAGGAGAATGCAGTACGACAATTGTGGATGCTATCTGTTCCATCTGTATTTGACGGGATGTTTCTCCCTCACATTTTTGGGTTTTCTCCATGGTGCTCTGATTTCTTCTTACTAGTAGACACAATGATTACCAATAAAACCTTCATACATGGAGGACCGCAGAGGTCGGACAGTTATTGCCGCTGGTTCACCGATCAGCTGCAGCTACCTTCCAAGTTGTTTGAAATTCCTGCTGGATTGATATCGTTGAAGGACCCTACCAACACAATGCCCATTCCCCCCCCAGCAGAAGAAGAAACGCATGCATCGTTGCAATGGTGCGAGATGCTGTGTGCTTCCACTCGAGTGGGACTGCTTCCAGTGGAGGATCAGCGTCTATCCGAAGGAAAACGCAGCGATGAGTCAGGAGGATGACATTTCAAGGTACCACAACCTCACTCAGCCCCTGTAGCCATGCTTTTAACTTTGTTCCTTACCTGTCGTGTATCGATAGTTCAATGTTTGTGCCATGCTATTGAGGGACTGTTATCTTGGTGTGGTTTGGGACTGTTGTTGTTTTGCTGCCTTGCCCCAAGCTTGCATGTAGTATTGAAAAATCAGCAGTAACTGATGTACTTATGCAATTTGCACTCATACACTTTATTTTAATTATTTTTTTCGTAATTTGCTTACCTTCCTATACTTGACATTCCTATCGTTTTTTATATTGTTTTTTTGTTGTGGTAATTTTCTGACCCCATGCCCCCTACTGGACATTTGTGAAAAAAGATTCATTGCTCATCGGATTCCACCTGCGGTATAAATACAGATTCTGATTCTTGAATGACTATGTCGGGTGGAGGAGGGTTCACGACACAAAAAAATTCTCAAAAGTCAATGATGAGTCTTGTCTCAACGTATAGAATGTGATTCTTGTTGTGCTCGTATCTGTGGTGCCGTGGTGGTGAGATGTTAACTACCTCGCCTGGTATGTAGGAGGTCGTGGCTTCGATCCCAACCCTGACGATGCCTGTTGCTTATGTGGAGTCTGCGTCTATTACTTTCTCTCCTTATTTAGATTCATCATGCAATGAGTGTTTGGCTGCTGGAATTTTCCACGTGATAAGCCACTTAATTGAATTATAATTTGTGATAGCCACGTCGATTCTGAAAAATAGCTGTATAGCTCAGTGGGCCTTATCTGGTAAAATGAAATAAAAAAAGGTTTAGTTTAACAGTTTGTCATCATCCCTCCCAGCCGAGTGGAATCGTGCACAGTGGAACTTGATGGAAAGACGACGAACACTCAGATGGAGCATCTAGAAGGAGCAGAGAGCGAAAGACGACGTCCAGATGAATCAGACACGGACCTCGCCCTCCATGCCAAAGGTAATATTTTCATGAAACAAAGGCAAAGTCTTTGCTTGTCAGTTAAACAAGACCGTGCATCTTAATCGCGCAATGCGATGACCGTCTTTGTTCAACGAGCGGATGAACGAAGTTAGTGTGATGGTTTATGCTCCTTGGCAAGATCCGCAATGTATTGTGGTTAATTTGTGGCAAGCACTCTGTGTGTAATGAGTGCATGTCGCTCTGCTGCTGCTGTAGAAGCGTGGGTGACTGTATTCTCTTCCCCTGTTCTGCATTGGCATCTTCTGGGTTCTCCAGTTTCCACCCATGTGTAATTGGTATTGACCAAAATATAACAATCCTGAAAAAAAACTTACCTGAAAATCACTTAATTTGGACCACACTCAGCAGCAACATTACCCCTCTACTACGGTAACTTGGTCAGATCCTCATGAAGACAGAGCCTTGTGACTCAGCCAGGCTTTCTTGCAGGCTACACCAGCCTAATGATAGGAATAATCACCAACGTGTAACCATCGTTGATATTCATGCAGCTCTCTCCACTGGGTCATGGTTAACTTTTTCCTGGGCCACTGTGGGAGCGCACCACACATCGCTGTCCTCCTTTGTTCCTTGCAGGACACCATGACCTCGTGTGGCAGCGCCACCACAAGATGCAGGTCATGTTTGAGAACGTCCTGACTCAGGGTTATGCTATCACGCAGAGGTGCTCCCTCGATGAGGTGGGTCCATGTGTCTGTGTGTGTCACTCTCTGCACGTGTGCTATGTATACATTGTGGGGAGCAGTGGCGCAGTGGTTAACGCACTGCACTTAGAATCTGGCGACCCGAGTTCAATTCCCGCTCACGGCCACCAATACCAGTGACGATTATCTGAACCAGTTCTAGGCCTCCCCTAGGTTGACTCAGCCTTAAATGAGTACCCGATGCTGTGTATAAATATCTCAACTGGGGAGACAAGTGTGGTCGGGCGTGGTGCTCGCCACTCACCTCCTCGTGCGCCGTGTTGGCGTTCAGAGGTGGTCGCATCAAGCACTTTCTCCAACAGTCTGTTAAGGCTACACGGGGATCTTTGTCCTTGTTGTGTATAAGTGCCCAGAAGATAAGGACAAACTTTAATAGAGACGGTAGTGAGGCTACTGCACTGCAGTTGTTGTGGACAAAAGGTAATCGACAGAGCTCAGCTTTTGATTTAAAGCTTCCGTGACTGCAGGGATTCATATTATTGGTTCTTTCGGTAAAGTCACGTAGAAGGGAAACAATAAAATAATAAAAAATATATTTTTATTGTTTTATATTTTTATTATTTTATTGTTTCCCTTCTACGTGACTTTACCGAAAGAACCAAGAATAAGAGCTCAGCTTAGAAAGTACGGCAGAGGTTGTTATTGGAATAGATGGTAGCTATCTCAGCCTGTGTGTTGTGTTCCGGGTTGTGTGTTTAATATGCTGTCTACAAATCCCTAAACATAAACTTTGTGTGCTTGGTTTACTTTGATGAAGAAAATATTTCGTAAAACAAAGCCTGAGAGCTAATTGGGCCCTTTCCGTTGAAATATATTTATAAAAATAATATCCAGATGTTTACGCTTTATATTTTATATGAATGTTGGGGTTGATGGTCTGGATCTTAATTGTTCAACGCGTTGCCCAGTTGTCCAAATTTCGCTGACCAGTCACTTGGCTGAGTGTCGTTTTCTGTGACGATTAAACAAGTGGCGCGGTCCTTGTAATTTGTGGCTTTGAGACAGTTTGAAAAAAGGACTAGTTCTGTGATATCCGCTTCCGTTGGGCCATTCTTTATCGTGTAGGGAATCACTGCATTGCTTTGCGTGAGTTCCACTTGCAGTTTTTTTCTCATATCACGACACTGATAGCGCATTCCGGATAACAATTCTGGGCAATGGGGAGGAAGTGATGTTATTATTCTGGAGGTGGTGGTGGCAATGCTGCTGCTACGCATGGTTGGTGGATTACACACTGAGATGATGTAATTAATCTCCCTTCCCGTGGGCATCAGAAAGGAGCGGTTGCACCCGATTCAAGAGCCGAATGGCTCACAGGGCTACACCAAATAAATGGAACTATGAACTTGACAGGCGATGGCGGTACAGAAAATATGGACTCCACTGTTCCGTCTCTATGGGATGGAGTGTGTTTTCTCCAGTTGCTCCGATTCCCTGCCACGTGTGAACCCTCATTAATTGGCCGGAGGACTGCATAGCTTGGGCAGTTGTTGGTAGCACTGTCACAGTGTGCATGGCTGCGGCCTTCCCATATATTTTGTGATTCCTCCTTGGTTCATTGAGTTGCTTCCTATATCTCTCTTCGACAGCGAGAAAATAACTGTGCAATGGTAGGGAATTACATCTTAATAGTAATATTATTCATCGGAGTAAGTTGTTATTTGGATAATCGCACAAAGTGAACCTTCTGTCCCGTGATCGGGAATTTATAGAAGGAAGACAAGTTCTGGAAGAGCATGATCAGCGACTACCTCAAGCCTCTGGAGGAAGATGACGATCACAAGAAACGTGTGAATCAGGAACTCTTCGAGATAAGAAACAAGGTACTGGCGACGTATCATCGCGGGTACCGGAGATGCTTCAATAACAGAAGAATCGCATTCCACCAACAACGCGTTGTGCGACCACCAGGCATTAACCAAGTACTTACCGTACTTGGTATGTGCTAGAGGAAGATTTAAAGGACATTGCATTATCTATGACTTATTATTCCTACTAATTTATTGCAAATTATTCTAATAATTATTCTAAAATGTATAAACCATAAAAGAATAACAACATAAGTTACAATTTAGTGTTGGGCATGGACAGTAGGGGACGGAATTGAACTCACAAAGAGGGGGTCCCTAAATAGCCTCGGGTCCCCCCCCCCCCCGTCCCCCCCCCCCCCCCGGTCTGCCTTTTTCTACCTGCAGGGCACCTTTGTCTACTTCCTGATCAACGCGCTGTGGCTGGTGGCGACCCTGGCGCTGCAGTTCGTGGGAGCTGACCTCAACATCGAGATCCCGAGCATGAAGAATGAGGGGACGTTCATCAAAGTGCCGCCCCTCGCCTTCATGTTCCTCATCACCTCCGCCAGCATGCTCGTTGTCCAGTTCCTGGCCATGCTGTATCACAGGTGAGGGGGTGGGGGGTAGACCCACGCGTGGCCATAGGAGGTGTGAGCGCGTGTCGACTCGGTGAACAACAGTGACGATTATCTGAACTGGTCCTGGACCTCCCCCTCGTGTGCCGTGCTGGCCTTCGTAGGTGTTACTCGCTGACAGCACTTTCCAAAACAGTATCTTAAAGCTATACTGGGGATCCTTGTATTTGTGCGAGTGTGGGCAGTGTGCTTATGACCAGCTCCTATTTGGCAGCTGAGGTCTCACTTTGAATCAGTCGGGCAGCATTATCTTTTCATTTGGCTGCGAAACGCTGTGTGAAATCTACTAGCTCTGTCACTCAAAGTTCAAGGATTTCTCGGCCACAGTGATGCCCTCCCTTCTTTCTGCTTTTGAGAATGACGTGGAGGCCTCTAAAGGGATATCTGTGCCAGTTAGAAACATTCAGGCTGACCCTGCCTACAATCCATCCCGAGTTTAACCAGACTGGATTGTGACGAGCTCACATATCCTTGAAAGATATGGACACATTCCCATCGGTGAACTCCTCTGGCTAGCGCGGCTGTTGGCTGGTTCAAGTAGCCCCTATGCCCAGCCACCGCATGGTAAAGCGGATTCTCTATGGCTGCATAGAGGGGGCTAAACGGGCATGACATAGACTGGAGAAGAGATGGACTGATGCGGTATGGGAGGATGTGGAGCTGAGTGGACTTGCCAACGACTGGAACCAGTGGTGTCAAGGTCGGCCTCTATGGAGGCATGTTAAGGATGCTGCTGGGCAGTTGGAGGCAGTCACCCTCTATCAACAACAGAGAGCAGAGGAGCAATGCTCACAACAACAGGCAGAACACCAGGCGATAAAACTCAACAATTTGTCACAGTAGGGGGCACAGCTGGTGCATCTGCCAGTCATCTCAGTCAGTTTACCATTGGCCCCTGGGTCTGTCCCGTGACCTGCCGTCTCGCCACCACGGCGCCCCCCCCCCCCACTTCTACTCTGTGCCCCCACCCCCTCCACCCCCGTGCAGGTTATTGACGCTGCTGCACGTGCTCTCCTACGTGGAGTCGTCGTCATCGTCGTCATCGTCGTCGCGGCAGCACTCGAGGAGCGGTGCTTTGGGCCGAGAAAACGAAGCGTTCGTCATTGAAGGAGACGGTGATGATGACGTGGAGTCGTCGTCATCGTCGTCATCGTCGTCATCGTCGTCGCGGCAGCACTCGAGGAGCGGTGCTTTGGGCCGAGAAAAAAAGCGTTCGTCAGTGAAGGAGACGGTGATGATGACACTCAGCAGTGCCGCCTCAGAGAGATTGTCTAACAGATCCCTGGACCTCTACTCGCACGCCGTACGTGGACCCACACACGTCGTGGTTGATCAATGACGGTGCGGTCGGTAAACGTGCAGCCCTGCAAGTTTTTTTTAGCTTGTTGCCACCCCCAGATGATGGGCCTCTTGCTAAATGGAGCTCGAGAGAGAGCCCCTCTCGAGTGGTGTCTTTGGCCTACTCTTCCACGCTGGGCACAGACGTCTTGAAAGACGAGGGAGTTACCCATGCTTTACATCCACACAGCACGCGACCTGCCAATCGAGTCAACTGTGCTGTGTCCATTTACGTGGCTGAGTGGACACAGGTGGCGGGATTAAAGAAGCTTGCAGCAACATGGGACCTTTCAGTGTCGCTTAAACTTCAGCGACACCGCAAGTGCAGTGTCGTGTTAATTGCAGCATAGCAGCCTCTCATTACAATGGTATTCAGTCAAAGGAGCTGCTGTGTAGATGGAAGGGGAGAGGGAGGTAATTAATGGTCAAGTCCATAGAAGAGTGTGAACAGTATCAGTGAGACCTTGAGGTTGACTTGGGATAGGGTGGGGTACCAGTTGAGTGATTAGTGATGTGGGCTCGTTTATGCGTGAGGTGTAGATGTCTTAGGAGGCATCAGCGACCATTGCCAGCGACGATTATTATATTTTCAATGTATGAAAACGTAAGTAGTATTCTCCAATATAAATTTATATCCGATACATAATGCATGTGATGATTTATTTGCTCACAATGATGTTTCCAGTTCAAAATCAGATAGAGATGGCGCTTCTATGTAGCAGTGGTCAGATGAAGGAAACGTCATGTTCTTGTATGTATGTATGTTGAACTTATTCTGCACCGCACTTAGCCAACCATGCTAATTGGGGATGTAAACATCACGCACACCTAAACTGGTCCGTTAACCATAGTAGTTAATGCAATAACATGTGTATGCCTGATTAATTTATATGGTTAGCAACCAACATGGGCAATCTTGTTTTTAGAAAGGTTTCTCTACCAGACAACACTAAACAAGATCCCCCGTTTAGATTTAATAGACTTATCGGGCTGTTAGTGAGCACCTATAACGGCCGGCATGACACACAAAGAGGTGGTTGGCCAGCACCAAGTCAAACCGCCTTACTGCACCAGGTACTAATTTGAGGCTGATTAGATCTAGGGGAGGCCCAGAACCGGTTCAGATAATTAATTAATCGCTACTGTTGTTGGTGGCCATGAGTGGGAATAAAACTCGGGTCGCCAAGTACTTAGCGCAAAAGACAATGCATGGCACATACTATTTTGAAATACTTGTGCAGGGCTATGAAGATGCGTTTTATTACATTACATTTTTGGCCATATATCTCTATATACCTAAGTATATTTATTGGCATTTATAATGTTATTAATTACAGAGATGTAGAGTTACATTGAGACTATGGATACATAAAACAAGATACAGAGAAGAAGCAATCAGGCAAAGGGACATTCATTCAACAATGCCATCCATTCAGAGCACTGCGTTCAGATGGTTTCCCCAAAATATTGGATTAGAGAAGTGAATGCATGAGTGTAATACCAAGGCAATGATTTTCTGCTAATTGCCACCAAGAATATGTCATCTCCCTCGCCCGGTACACAGGAGGTCATGGGTTTAATTGCCGGAGCCTGGCGATGCCTGCTGTTGTACATTTGGAGTCCGCGTGTTCTCTCTCCCTGTGGTGGTCGGAGCTTGGATTTTTCTCTGCGTTCCTCGGTTCAGATGATTTGACTGCTGCTACAAATGTCCACGTGTGGTGATATCAGTCACTGCGGTCATGTGCTATGGCTAGGTCACCTATGAATAAGAGCTCATAGTGCAGTGGACTTTAATTGGTAACTGGTAATTATACTGTTGATTCCCTTGCAGGTTTGGATCGTTAAGCCAAACGCTTAACGATCCAAACCTTTGAGGTCCACACTTCAATGGGCGCTTGTAGCGCTTACGCACACGCCAAGCTCTCTGTGTCTCTCTGATGGATGCGTTGTCGAGCTCTGCCCATGACATAGAAAACATTCGTCACGAGCGGCTAAACGTCCACTCCTCCACCATTCCCCCGCCGAGTGGAATGTAGGTTACACTCCACTGCTTAATAATACATCCCGATAGGCTCTTTTGAATTTACAACGTCGCGATTCATAGCTTTTGTTTAACGTGACCAGATAATGTTTTAGTTTATGGAAATTAGAATAGGGCTCGTTTGTCGTAGAATATATTTGTACTATGCTATTTAAGTATATTACTATGCAATGTGCTAACACGGCACGTACTGATTATATACATATTCTTGGTTCTTTCGGTCAAGTCACGAAGATAGAAAATTAAAATATATTTTTAATAAATTAAAAATATAAGCAAAAAACCACGACGTTTCGATCGCAACACAAGCGGTCTTCATCAGGCGGAGAGAAAAGAGGGGGCAAGCCTCCAAATGCAACTGCTTATAATGGTTTAAAGCTTTCGTGACTGCAGGGATTAATATTCTTGGTTCTTTCGGTAATGTCACATAGAAGGGAAACAATAAAATAATGTTTTATATTTTTATTTTATTGTTTCCCTTCTACGTGACCTTACCGAAAGAACCAAGCATATGCTTATAATGGCTTTCATAGTGAGCAAAGCTGTATGGCGTAAACAGCATGGGCGGGGCAGCCAGGTGCAAAGCACTAGCAGTAGGAGTAAAGCACTAGGAGTAGGAGTAAAACAGTAGGAGTAGGAGTAAAGCACTAGGAGTAGGAGTAAAGCAGTAGGAGTAAAGCACTAGGAGTAGGAGTAAAGCAGTAGGAGTAGGAGTAAAGCAGTAGGAGTAGGAGTAAAGCAATAGGAGTAGGAGTAAAGCAATACGAGTAGGAGTAAAGCAATAGGAGTAGGAGTAAAGCACTAGCAGTAGGAGTAAAGCACTAGGAGTAGGAGTAAAGCAGTAGGAGTAAAACAGTAGGAGTAGGAGTAAAGCACTAGGAGTAGGAGTAAAGCACTAGGAGTAGGAGTAAAGCAGTAGGAGTAGGAGTAAAGCACTAGGAGTAGGAGTAAAGCACTAGGAGTAGGAGTAAAGTACTAGGAGTAGGAGTAAAGCACTAGGAGTAGGAGTAAAGCAGTAGGAGTAGGAGTAAAACACTAGGAGTAGGAGTAAAGCACTAATAGTAGGAGTAGAGCACAAGGAATCGGAGTGTAGCAGGTGTGTTAGAAAATTGGGGGAGGGAGGGGTAGAGATAGGGGGAGAGAGATATATACAAGTGTATATAAAACGCTTTATTGCCTGTTTTTTTTTATTTTGCACTAATACAGTTTACTGAACCTCTGTGCCGTTATCAGTCATGTATTTTCGACTGCTTGCAAAGAGATGATGGCACAGCCCTTCAATGAATCACCCCTCTGGGCGATTGAAACAGCCTGCCACCTCCAGATTGCGCAACAGCACCCCAAACGACTTCCAGCGGCGTTTTTAACTCGTCCGTTGGTGTAATTTTCATTGTTACCTGTAGCCACCCACCGCCAAATTGACATATCGCTTGAGTAACAGTTTAGCGCACTAATCAATACCCCCAACTACTTTAGCATTACCACATCCAAATACATAAATAATTGGGTATGCATCACCCACTTGAAATAATGAAACATTGCATAGTCGTCGAGATTCATGGATGTGGACGGGTTGCTCAGAAAACAACGCTGGGCTGCCACCAGTGAGAAACTGGGTTCAGCTACCGAAACTAACTTTTATTTTACCAGGTTAAACAATGTCGTGGAGGGAACAACTGTGAGTGACGACATGAGGCCATGCACGACTGTGAGCAAAAGTCTTGCAAGTCAACTATTTTGTTTATTAAATAAAAGAAAGTATTTTTTTTATTATACCAGATAAGGCCCACTAAGCTATATATCTTTTTTAATAAACGACCTTGCCACAAATAATAGCTCGTGGAATTTTATTATCACGTGTACATTTAGAGCAGCAGCCAAATTCTCTAAAGGCACGTTCATTCTAAATGTGTAGGGAAAAACCGGAGGACCTGGAGAAAATCCGCGGTACACAAGGGACAAAAGGAGAGCAACGGGTGGGGTGGAGCGGCTGTCAGTGAGGGAGTTGACGGAATGGATGGAGGGACAGGGGCTGGGAATTCAGCAAATGCTGCTGTGTTAGGGAAGAAGGAATAAGCTTGAATGTGATGGTGAGTGAGGGTGACAGATGGGTGCAACGTGGATGAGAGGCAGTGGGGTATGGGGCACATACGTGAAGTGGTAATATTGGGATGGATGAGGGTAGGTGAATGATGGTAGGGACAGAGGTCTGGTGGCGAGATAGTTGAGCTGATTGAGAAGCACAACGAAGGACTGGGGGAGATATGTTTAGGTGCACATAGAAAGCGAGATGTGGGAGCCAGGTCATTAATTAGGGTCATTGTGGGAAAAAGACCATGGGACTGGGAGTGGGTTAGATATACCACTCCCAGTCCAAATATATTCAACAAGCATCAGGATCGGGATCGTACCCACGGACTCCTGCATAGCAGGCGAGGTAGTTAACATATCCTAGCCACCTGTCTGTGACTGATAAGGCTCTCCCGGTGTAGCCAGCTGAAGGCCTCACACCAGTTACCAACGACTTACAGACGGGTTGCTTAAAAACCAAAGCAATTGGAATTAGTGCCCACGTCACCACTTGATTTGATTTGCTCTAACAGATGGTGGAGATTATATATTTACTAGCGGTAAGTACCCAGCGTTGCCTGGGCGAAAAAGGCAGACACACCTGGACTTACAGACATCGACCCACACACATAGAAACACATCGTCACGCACACACACATATGGACTCACACACACAGACGTCGACTTTAGACACACACACACATGGCGTTACAGACATATATCGACTCACACACAACAACAACCGACATTCGCCACTAAGTGGCGGTGACGCTACCACGACGCTTGTGTCAGGCCATGTGCACCTTGAGGCCACGTGAAGTGTCGAACGCCCGCGGGCAGGAGGTCACGGGGCAGACCCAAGTGCCACGGGTCGACTGACTGAGATGACTGGCTGGTGCACCACCTGTGCCCCCTACTGTGCCAACCTGCTGTGTTTTAGCCACCCGGCGCTCCGCTCGTTGTTGTGAGCGTCGCTCCTCCACCCTCCGTTGTTGTTGGAGGGCGACTGCCTCCAACTGCCCAATAGCGCCCTTCACGAGCCTCCTCCACAGAGGCCGATCTTGACACTGCTGGTACCAGTCATCGGCAAGTCCACTCAGCTCCACGTCCTGTACCACATCACTCCATCTCTTCTCTAGCCCGTGCCGTGCCCGTTTAGCCCCCTCGATTCGGCCGAACAAAAGCTGTTTCGGCATGCGGTGGCTGGGCATGCGGGCTACATAACCCAGCCAATGCAGCCTTGCCTGCCGGAGGAGCTCACCGATGGGACCTTGCCCAGATCTTTCAAGGATTTGTGAGCTCCTCACACAATCCAGCCTGGTTAAACCCAGGATGCATCGTAGGCAGGCTAGCCTAAATGTTTCTAACCGGCGAAGATGTTCCATTAGGGGGGTCCACGTTTCGCAAGCGTAGAGAAGGGAGGGAATGACCGTGGCCGAGAAGACCTGAAGCTTAGTGCGGATCGACAGACCAGGTAGCTTCCACACAGCGTTACGCAACCGATGAAAATATATTGCCGCTCGACTGATTCGGAGTGAGACCTCTGCTGTTCAACTGGAGCCGGACTTACACACACACATAGTTAGACTCACACACACATGGACCTACACACACACCTAGATGTACACACACACATATCGACGCACACACAACAACAACCGCCATTCGCCACTAAGTGGCGGTGACATCACCACGACGCTTGTGCCAGGCCATGTGCACCTTCAGGCCACGTGAAGTGTCGAATGCCCGCTGGCAGGAAGTCATGGGGCAGACCCAGGTGCCACAGTTTGACTGAGATGAAAACCTGTGCCACCTACTATGCCTACTTGCTGTGCTTTAGCCGCCCGGCGCTCCGCTCGTTGTTGTGAGCGTCGCTCCTCCGCCTTCCATTGTTGTTGGAGGGCGACTGCCTCCAACTGCCCTATTAGCGTCCTTTACGAGCTTCCTCCACAGAGGCCGATCTTAAGACTGCTGGTACCAGTCATCGGCAAGTCC